CTATTGTGAGTATAATAGTTGCTTACAAAAGCTATTCGTGTTAACGAACGGAGAGGTATGCATAATTTTTTTATAATAATGTGGATATTTTGATGTAAGAAAATTTGTAGCGCTGTTTGAAAAAAATACAACGATGTATAATTTAATATAAATATTTTACATATTATACGAGTTTTATCAGCTTGAAATATCACGGGCGACGTCTACCTTTACACTTTTGGCCCTGTGATATGGCCAATTTCAATAATTTATTAATAATTAACAGCGCTACAATTTCAATTGACATACATCAATCTTTAACGCACGAGTCAGAAGTTGGTCATATTGCAGAGCCGAAAGTAAAAAGGTAGACGTCGCCCGCGATATTTCAAGCCAATAAAACTCGTATAATATGTAAACTATTTATATTAAATCATACATCGTTGTATTCTTTTCAAACAGTGCTACAACATTTCTTACATCAAAATATCCACATTATTATAAAAAAATGATGCATACCTCTCTGTTCGTTAACACGAATAGCTTTTGTAAACAACTATTATACTTACAATAGAGTTCAGTTTGAACCATTTAATTTGATATATATTTGTTATGGTCTATCTCTTTTAATTTAAAAGATAAAAAGAAGTGGTCACTTTTGGTGGGACACCCTGTATATACAGTTCGTAACAAAAGTTCCGGAACGGTCAATTATCTCAGAAAATATTAGTTTATTGGAAAAATGTTTCAAACAAAAATAGTATGGCTTAAAAAAAATCTATTAGCTGGTAATATTTATTTAAGCTTTAGATGACCTTAAAAAGCCCGGTCAAGGTCAACATAAAAATGTAATCTGAGTACAATCTTAAATGAAACTTTCCTTTTATTTTTTAATACACATTCTTGTAGCTGAAGTCGAGACGTTTTCAAAACACTATAAATGAAGTATTCTTTTATTATGTACTTTTCGAGTTATAAGACTTGAAAGTAACAATACACCACCTGCTTTTACTTGAGATTCCGTGAGAAAAGTCGAACTCACAAAGTCCCATAGGAAAAGCAACTCCGACGTTAAGATAATTTTCTAGAATGTTGGTCTGTGCCGCGTTTACTAGGTCTGGTGTTCAGTATTTTAGCTTATCCGAAAAAAAAAGTATCGTAGAGTCTGATCAGGACGTTACACTTTAAATAATTATTAGGATAATAAAACGATAGAATTTTGTGATTTAGTATTTTTTGTGCAATAATTATAGATAATTTTTGCAAAAAATACTAAATTTTATATAAGTACAAGGTGTTTCAGAATAACTACAATGGAGGAGAGAAGAGTAAGTCGAACAGAAAAGTTTTCTACCATTTTGCAATTTTTGCAATAATTATAGAGAAATTAATTTAAAAAACAGGCGAATAAGCATGCGTTTTGCACGGCTATACCGTAGGATTCTGCCAGGCGGAGATACATCAGATCTCGCCGCTAGAAGAATGATAAGGCAATCGCTCTTACCAAGGACGATCTCAAACAAACTAAAAAGATCCTTTGTTTCGAAAGCAGAATCGACCAAAAAATGGCATGGGATTGTTTTCCGAAGTCTATCAATGACGACCCATAGGGACTGATGTTACAAAATTCGCACAAGGGCCACGCCTTCTCCTTTGATCACACTTCCATCAGACACTGGAGATGATAGTATCTACTTTATTCCCGCATCATCCCGTAACGGACCACGACGCGTCGTTTTACCAGCTTATAGATGAATTGGGCGACTTCATCTCAATATACGCCGATGAAATGAGTTATCACAAGAATAAAATAAAAAGAATGTAGCCTTTGGCCTTGATGACGTCTTTGGAAGGATTTGGAGCTTTGCATATAGAATTGCTTCCGAATGGATAACCAAATATCTGAATGTATAAAAATTGGATACTTTTCTGGTTTCTGGAAGATTGTAAGATTGTAGTTTTACTAAAAAAGAATGATCGTCTCGATGGGATCCCATCTGCGTACAGATCATTAAACATTTTTGATGAAATTAAGAAATTGTATGAGAGAGTATTCTGCAGATTACAACAAGGACGTAGGCAACTTAGCCAAAACCCAATATGGTTTTCGTGTAAACAAGTTTACTTGCAACGCAAAACTTCATCCGAGATAGGGAGATTACTAACTCATACACTGATCAAGGAAGTACCGTACGATACGGTACGTTATAATACGATATGATATGGCTCAAATATAAAAGATATTTACATTTTTCGACCATTTCCTTGTGAATCATGGTCCAAGAAAACACATTATTACATATGTTGATACCGCGACACATATACCTCCTTGATTACTATATGAATTAGTCTCCCTGGCCCGGATGACCGCGTCATAAATTAACTTATTTACACAAAAATCATATTGAGTTTTAACTATTAGGTCTAGTAGATCCAATGTGGAAATTCTTAAATAGATTGCTGATAAGACAAATAAAATGGCATTGGGACGCCTCATGTCCAATATAAAGGTCCCGCAATTAAATGCCGATTATATGCGAATACAGATCATTCTCTAAACTTGTACGGAGCCTCGATTTGGGCCAATGATGCTGTGCTGTTGCGCAAAAATGGCTTACCCCTCTCCACAGAATACAGCGTCTTATATCCTTACGCGTTGTTGATGTCGCACTATTTTTGATACGGCGGAAAGAATACTGACCAGAATTTCTTCCATGCAATTTTTGGTCAAGATGCGCGCTTGGACTTAGGGGAAGGTGGGGTAAGACGGACCCCCTAAGCAAAAATGGTTATATTTTTTATATTAATGACAAAAAATAACTGAAATTTAGCATGAAGAAACTGTAGAATGTTTATTATAAGATTATAATGTTAAATTTTCAAAATTTGCAAAAGTTTGAATTATTATTAAGATTTTTAAAAACTTAATTTTGGTCCGTTTTACCCCATAGGTGGGGTAAAATGGACCATCCCATGGGGTAAAATGGACCAAGCCGAGATAATATGGATCAAGAAATAATTTAACTGATCAACTCAAAATCAAAACTATATAGTATTTATTAAATATTTTTGAATAAGAATAGAAATTAATTTAACATTAATTATTTTATTATACACACAAATCTTTAAAATAATTATAATCTTTATAATTTTTAACGTTTATATTAAATATAACATTAAATATAACATTTTAAAATAAAGCATGTAAAAATAAAATAAATAATTATTATAAAATCTGTTTTTATTTGGAGACATTATTTTCAATAAATTTCAAGTTTCTTCTACTTTTAACAGTGCGTTTTTTTATTTTTCTATTAGCTTTTTTTCAGTTAAAAAAAAAAATG